GTAGTTATAAATTATTCTAAGGGTATTTTAGACATTTTAATTGGGATACAAAGATTTTATAAGGTGTGTAAAAAATTAAGGAGAAAATGTACGTTTTTTGGAAAACGGAGGGAGTACTTAATTAGAATGTTATGTAATCCAATTCTTGAAACGATATATGGATAATTAATGGATGAATATATGAATGAATGGATGAAATATTAGGGCGGGCAGCAAATGCAAGCCAAGGCACAAGGCGCGGTTGACGCCGTTAAGGACTCCATGAGCAGCAAGTGATGAAGAGGAAGAAGAATGCAAGTGGCGAACAATTAAGAGAGATTGGCTAAATAATGTTCCAATTTTTTTTTTTGAAGTTATTTTCCATGTTTAATTTTTATAGATTAAGATTAGTGTTCAAAAAACACACGTTAGATTGATCGAATAAAACTTGGTTATTTTTTGCCATGTTACCATTCATTATTCCTTATTAATTGGATTCATCCATTCTTCGTTCATATCTTAACTTAAATCGAATAATGCTAGCTATATACTCCATCCGTTTGCAAAAAGACTTCTCATTTTGATTTGGGATAAAAATAAGGAAGTGTTAAATTATAGTTGATTTTCAATTTTGCCTCTGATGTGATGGATATATTATTAGAGAAAAGTATGATGTGATAGGTAGGGTATGAAAAAGTAAGGATAAAATTGGTTTTTTAATAGAGAGGGGAAGTGTTTTGTTGGAAGTAGAAAAAATGAAAAAAAAAATGTTTTTGAGAACGGAGGGAGTATATAGTTTTATAAACCATATCACACCGGTTGGTTCGGACCGGAAATCGAAAAATGAGGATTCAATCGCTCCGGCCTGTCCAGCCCCATAGCCGCAATACACAAACTAGAATAATCACTCTCTTCAACCAGCAAATTAAACTAGTTTTCTTTTACACAAGTTTTCTAGAAATCTTTACATCCATTAGCATTAAATTGAAAAAATCACACACACACACATTCAAATATGTTTGAAATACTTGTTCAACCACTCAAATCATTGATTTGACTAGTGAAGTAGTGCTTTTAACCGGTTTGATCGCCGAACTAGTGCTTTTGACCGGTTTGACATATATGTACCTTATTAAGATCGTTCAGTGCGGAGGTGCAATAGGAACCGTGATGAGGAGCTGGCATGCCGCATCAGCGCGTGATGGGGATGAAACACCGCCCCCTCCCTAGTGACCCCTGATGGTGGTGCAATGATCGACCATTTTCCTTTTTTTTTTGCTTTGTTCCTCTCTCTAATGTAAAATAATGAAATGCTAATTTAATGAAGTCATTTTTTTGTCATCTATCACTCGCATTTTATTCACATTATCAATGTAATTTTAAATTTGAATTTAAATAAGATATTTGTTTAATTTATTATTTTAAGTTAATTTATTTAAATCTGTTTTTACTGTATTTTTTTATTAGTTGTAATTTTAAATAATTGTATTCTTATATTTCTGCTTTTTTAATCACATAAATGTACTTTTAATTTTAACATCATTGAATTATTTATTTGATGTTATTTATTTCAAGTTAATTATGATTAAAAAAATAAAAAAATGGTTGTGATCCACACACCTGTGGTGTGACAGTGGTGTGATGAGATGTGATGGGAAAAAGAAAAACTTGTGTGACGATGAGTGAAGCTGAATGAGATGGCGTGATAGGTGTAATCCATCTCATCTTACCACACTACATAACCTAAGAGCAAATGCAAGATGTGTCAAGAAAGTAAGATTCGAGTTCGATTCATAGCAGCTACACGGAGAGACAACTATGCTAAGTATAGAACCTCTGCAAGTACCAGACTCCACTCTTTATTATCAATCTGCGATCAAATTTTAATTTACTTTTCTCAATGACTGTCCGGCCAAATCTGAGAGAGCCCTCGGGGATGGGGCTCGTCCTTTTTAAGAGCAACGAGGGAAAAAAGATACTCCCTCCATCCACAAATAAAGTTCTCATTGCGCGTTACGATGTTTGACTGAAATTATTTTCAAATCATTTTATATGAAAAGTGGTATGATATTAAAAAATTAAAATTACATATTTAAAAACTACATGAAAAGATCTACAAAACTAGTGGTGACATGACTATATTATTTTATCAAACAAGACACAAAAATAAGTCAACAAAGTGAATAAAGTTTGACCATGTGAATAGTAAACGGGAACTTTATTGTTGGACGGAGGGAGTATACCATACTAGGCATGGCTATTCTTTTTCACTATTGTCAAAATTCGAATAAATTTGATTTAACCTCGTGTGACATTATAACGCTGAGAGAGAGTACTTATTTAATTACTTTTGGTAAGACAAATTAAAAACCGGTATGGCCGTGTTTGGAAAACAGCATTTCGGATAGCTTTTGGCATGTTTGACTGACTTCGGCTTTTTTGACTGAGCGAACCGCCAAAACCATTGTTTGGCTAATGGCTTTTTCACTTGGCATTTTGATCCAAAATGCCAAAATCTGAAATGTCAAGGGGAGTAGCTTTTGGACATGGATGTTAGGAAAATCAATTTTTTTAAAACCATTTTTCTTGAAAAATATTTTATAATATATGTAAAAACTAAAAATAAAAATAAAACTTAAAACATTAAATACTGAAAAAAATAAATTTAAAAATTTAAAAATTTCAAAAAAATGAAATGAGAAAATAAAAAGTAAAAATCATTAAAAAATTGTATATTAATAATTTCTTATGAATTAAATGAAAGTAAAATTTAATACTCCATATACTAAAGATTTAATTTTTACATGTAAAAAAATGAAAAATAAATATTGTGTGTGTGTCTATATATATATCAAACAGCTAATTTTACCAAACAATTTTAACGATCAGCCAGTTCATCCTGCTGGTCAAATCAGCTAAACTAAACAACCATTCACAACAGCTGACACGAACTGCCAACAGCCAACAGCTGACAGCCAACATTCAAACAAGGCCATAGTTTAGGTCTATTTACTCATCAAAATAGACTAAAAAATGTTTTTCCTCGGTTCATTTTAATCTTTCAGCATTTCCCTAAAAAAATGTCTCATTTTTTTCTTTCTACTTTTACTTTCTTTTCCTATACATGCAAACAAAAACAATTATTATTAATATTATTTCTTTTAAATTCTTCATACAAACATAGTGTGATGGGCATAATTAAATCTTGGTTTTTTAAAGGGTTACGGGTATAAATCTAGTAGTGTTAAAACTAGCTAAGAAATTTGGACATAGTATAACTTTTATTCATGGGTGACGTCACCCGGTAATGGAAACTTCAAACTTGGGTTGCATAACTGCAGGAGTTACTTTTGACCGAAATATTCACGTTTGAATGGCACGTCGAAAAGATGAAAGACGATAAATAATTTTTGTTACAGGAAATTCAAATTATAATAAATTAGAATTGAAAATAATAATTCTAATTCTATTATTTGATAATATAAAAATATGTATATTTGAAATTGATAATGCCAAAAAATGAATTAAAATTGGAGAATTAAATTTCATCAAAATCAACTCTATAGAATTTCAATTCCCAATTCAATTCTAATTTCATTAATTTTTTTGTACCAAACATGCTCAAAGAATGGTTATTACTTTCAATAAAAATTGTTTGTCCTATTCTTAAAAATTTAATATTTTTTAGATTAAGGTTTTGTTTACACTGACATCTAGTGTCGTACATTCCCCCCTCATTAAAATTTAACATTTTTGAAATAATGGAACTTTCAATCATATTAGTAGAAGAAACAAACTCTCGGATACATTTTAAAAATTTTAAGGATCTCCAGAATTTATTTCAAATAATGTGAGATTTGAGAGTTCTTACAAAAAATAGATAGTATTCATGAGTAATTTTCTATCAAAATGTTGATCCTAGCACATTTTCTTATTGAGCACCAAATGCACACAACTCCATTTTCCAACACCCATTTTTATTTAATTTTTATTAATATTTTTTGAACTTTTTGTCAATTTATGTGGACAAAGAAGGGGTGTGGGACATATAGGGTACACCTTTGGCGTATCCCATCAGTTTTCTTCTTATTTGGTACTTTGTCATGTCATTGCTAATTTAGAATGATTGCTAATTTTTGCAACCTATAATGATTGCTAATTGAATGATTGCTAATTTTTGCTACCTATAATTCAAATGAATATAACAACATCTATATTTAAAAATTACATTTAAAACTGTATTAAATAAGGAGTACATAACTACGTTATTTTAGCCACTTACGGATATTAAACTATATAGACCAAAAAAGAAGATAAAATAAGAGACTTTAAATAGGAAAGATATAGATAGTATAGATGGTGGAAATATTAACACTTTGATGAATCAAAATGATGGTTTGAAGCAAAATGTTAAATAAAAAAAAGGAACAAGTGTTTGTTCATCCATTCTGAAATCTAAATTCAGTTCATCTTTTCACAAAGTTTATAAAAATAATATAATCCATACATTTTAAAAATTAATACTCAGTGTAATACGGAGTAAAATCTTCATTTATAAAATTTTGATACAAATTTTAAACATTTAAAAAGGGTACTCACAACATTTGCTTTTTCAGCGGTGTCGGGAACTTTTGTTTATTTCGACGTTTTCATTGATTATTTGATAAAATAAAATATTCTTGACACCTCTTATTTCGAAGAACTTTTCATGTAGTTTTTTTATATGTAAATTTTATTTTTTATTTCTTAACCAATATGTAAATAAAATAAATTGAAAAAACTTGATATTTTACCTCGGAAATATAAATGTGGCAAATAATTTGGGACGGAGAGAGTACAAATCTTAATCAAATTGAGGGAAAAAGGAGAATATTTTGCAATAATTATGGGGAGTGTACTTTTTTTGCAAGGGCACCGTCCCAAATGACAGTAATTTTTGGTACTCTCATTCAAAGACTACTTTTCTTTTTGTCGGCTCTGATGTAAAATAACAGTAAAATGGAGTTACTGAAACACTTCACCAGCCTCCTCTTTGATTTACCTACCCCTTCCAAATATTTGCTGTATTTTTTTATTTTTTTAAAAATCTGTTTTCCTTTGTGATTCCTCGCTGAGTTGAAATGAGGAGAGAAGCCAAAGTTGTGCATTGGTTGGTAGCGTCTCTTTGTTTTCTGGGTTCTGCAATTAGTATGCTATCTCCCAAAGGCGTCAACTTTGAAGGTAACAGAACTCTCAATCTTGCGATTCTTGAACTAATTGCGTGTTAAATTTTCAAATTGAAATCAAGAAAAAGAAAGGAAAGGGTTTTTAAAAAATCCCATTTTTGGGTTTGCAGTGCAAGCTTTGATGGGAATAAAAGCTGCTTTGGAGGATCCTCATGGTGTTCTTGATAACTGGGATGGGACTGCTGTTGATCCTTGTAGTTGGAACATGGTCACTTGCTCCGATGAAGGTCTGGTTATTGGACTGTAAGTTCATCTTCCCCAAAGAAAAAAAAAACAAAATCCCCTTTCTTTAATGCCATGTTTGTTTCATGGTTTTCCAGGTTTTTATAAAATTGATAACCATGTTCATTTAAGAGTGCTCTCATGATCCTTTACATAATCTAACTATGGTAAGAGATTTGTATCTGTAGGGGAATTCCAAGCCAGTGTTTGTCTGGTTCTCTTTCTCCAACCATTGGAAACTTGACAAACATTAAGTTGATGTAAGTGCTCCCAGTTACATTTGAGTACCCTGCATATAAATCCAATACAGTGTTCTTTAAAAAAAGTGGTGTTGATAAATTTATAGTATCTGGTTGACAGAGATTTGCAAAACAACAACATAACAGGAGCAATTCCAGTACAGATTGGCCGTCTCTCAAATCTTAACACGCTTGATCTTTCCAATAATACCCTCACTGGCGAAATCCCGCCTTTGGGACGGTTGAGAGGCCTGCATTACTTGTAAGAATGTATTTCTGCTAAGAAATCAACTCAACCAAAAGCTCAAGCGATGAACGCCCAAAGAGTGTTTTATAATCTAACACCTTTTCGGATTCTATCACAATGTTTGAATGGGTTTTTTTCTTTTTCAAGAAATTTAACTGAATGCTTATTTATTGAAATTGTTGATGGGATCAGGAGGCTAAACAACAACAGTTTGTCTGGAAGAATTCCCGTGTCGTTGTCTAACATGACTCAACTTTCTATAGTGTAAGAACCACAACCACTTTTGTCCATTTAATCTTAACAGCCTTTCGTACCAAATTCATGAATCTATTGTTTTTCTAATGAAGGGATTTATCAAACAATAACTTGAGCGGACCCGTGCCAAGAGTTCCTTCCAAGACATTCAAGTGAGTGAACAGTCTCTTAAGTAAACAAGTGATTCATTTCTCGTTTTCGTTGAAATTTCACACTATCCTCTCCTTTTCTGCTCTCTTGTAATTTGCAGCATTGTTGGAAATCCTCTAATATGTGGCACGCGGCCTGAACCATACTGCCATCGTACATTGAACACTTCTAGAAGTAAATGGTTTCATAGTCTTCTTGAATTTCAGTTAATGTGTCCTAAAACCAACCTGATCACTTGTTCTATATCAATTCTTCCCAGCTGTTCATCCATCTGTTAAAAGGAAAAGTCACAAACTTGCATCATCTGTGTTGGGTTCTATCCTGGGATGTATATGCGCGCTCTTCCTAGGAATAGGACTTCTCCGCTGGTCAAGGAAAAGGCAAGCTCAACGAATGCTCTATGGTGAAGAAAACCCGGTTGGGAATATAAGAAGATTTCGACTGAAAGAGCTTCAACTTGCAACCAACAACTTCAGCAGCAGAAACATCTTGGGAAAAGGTGGGTATGGAGTTGTTTACCGAGGCGAGCTAAGGGACGGGACCACAGTGGCCGTGAAGAGGCTGAATGATGGGAATGCTTCTGGAGGTGAGAAACAGTTGCAGACAGAGATTGAGACAATCAGTTTGGTTGTCCACCGCAATCTTCTTAGGCTGTTGGGCTTCTGTATGACCCCAACAGAAAAGCTTCTGGTTTACCCTTATATGTCCAATGGCAGTGTCGCTTCCCGTCTCAGAGGTACTAAAATATATTAGCTGCCCAACGTACCCTCTTGCAGCAATTTAAATCGAATGCAACTTACCAAATGGTTCCTTAATATGTTTGTTGTACTTGTGAGACAGTGAAGCCAGTTTTGGAGTGGGAGAGAAGGAAGCGAATCGCCATAGGGGCAGCGAGGGGGCTTCTGTACCTCCACGAGCAGTGTGATCCGAAGATAATCCATAGGGATGTGAAGGCTGCAAATGTATTGCTGGATGAGTACTGTGAGGCAGTGGTTGGGGATTTTGGGCTGGCAAAGCTTTTGGATCACACGGACTCGCATGTCACTACGGCTGTACGTGGGACCGTGGGACATATTGCCCCTGAATATCTATCCACGGGGCAGTCCTCCGAGAAGACAGATGTCTTTGGGTTTGGGATCCTTCTTCTTGAGCTCATCACAGGGCTCAGAGCTATGGAATACTGCAAAGCGGCTCATCATGGCGGTGCCTTGCTTGATTGGGTGAGTGACTTGTTGTGCCGGTTTCTCAACAAACCAATTCAACCACAAGCTCAAGCTTATGGTTGTATGCCCAAAAAATGCTTTTATACCTTAATATGCATTGGTTTATAAATGTAGGCGACGGTAATGTTTTAAACACTTTGTGTTCAGAACAATTTATTACACATCTAACTCCATTAGTGTGAGGTTTTTGGGATGTGCCCGAAAAACAGTTCTGTGAGGGGTTGACTTAAAGTAGACAATGCTATGCTAATGTAGAGATAGGGTGATGATAGATATTCCCTACACTAGCAACCTGATGTTGCTAAATCCACTGAATTATAACCATAAGTTGTTTTTATCAGCACCGGCTCCAATTGAAGCACATGTGGTGCTCCGTTTGCAAAATTGATGATTCCTGTCCCCCAAATTGCCAAAGTCCAAAACATTTTGGGGATTAAATTTAAGGGGTTCAGTGTGGGTTCGGGCCGGGCCCAAGTAGGGGTTTTACGAATAGAACACCGTAGGTGCCCCAAAACTTTAGTCGCACCATATTGTCAACAGAGCCCCTATGTGTTTTTTATTGGGTCTTTTTAATTTGTTGTGTATTTCCACCAGATCAAGAAAATCCACCAAGAGAAGCAGCACCTGAATGCACTAGTAGATAAAGGCTTGGGAAACAAATACAACGAGATTGAGGTGGACGAGATGGTTCGGGTGGCTCTACTCTGCACCCAATACGTTCCGGGGCACAGGCCTAAAATGTCCGAAGTGGTTCGAATGCTGGAAGGGGATGGAGTTGCCGAGTGTTGGGAAGCGTCCCAGAAGATAGAACCCAATATGTATAAGACACAACCCATTGCATCTTCGTCTTCCTCATCTGAGAGATTCTCAGATCAAACCGTTGGTTCGACTTCTCTTCCACATGCCATGGAGCTGTCTGGTCCAAGGTAGTAGTGGAGCATATAATATTGATATATGTATACTCGTAGATATGTTTGTACCATAAAAATGGAGAGTTTTTTTCCAAAGGCTTTTTGGACATTGAGAGCTGTCTTAAAACATCCCAAAAATATAATTTGTTGTAGTTTGTAATACTTTCTTTTGAGATGTTCGAAATGTTCATTCAATTGCGATTTCAAAGAGAGTGACCCTCTAATGGTACTCAAAATCTATCTCGAGAGTCGAGGGAATATTTTTTTAAAACAAATTGCTTGGAATCGATGATATCCCCAATTGATTGATGTTTATTGAATGAGCATAAAGGGACTACTCCTTAGTTCACATTGTAACTCTCTCCACAAACTAACAAATTAGGTTGTTTGGTGAGTTCTAGAGATATGATAAGTTATGTAATACTTCTATGAAATTTGGAAGAAACGATGTATGTTTTGAAATCTGAAATGAATTTGTTTGGAAAGATTTAAAATTATGATTTAATTAGTGATAAACGGGAGTGACCGACAATGATGGTGGTTGGCGGTGACAATGGTAGTCGGTGACGGAGAATGACCATTGGTTGAGAGAGATATTAAACCTCCATATTGATATCTCTGAAATTCGAGAGATATCGAAACCCTTCGTTTGAAAGATTTATAATATCTGGAAATATCGAATTCGATATCTTTTTTGGCTTCACCAAACACCAAAAAAGAATTTTTATATTTGGAGATATCAAAACTTATATCTTGTTTGCTCACCAAACAGTCTTTTAAGCCCATTTCTAAATCCTTAATGACCTGTTTGGGAACCTGGATTTCGATTTAAAATCCAGATTTGATACAAATACTACCTTGTTTGGCAACCTAAAGAATATGGATTTGAATTTTATTCAAATTCCTCTCGTTACTAACCAACCCAATTACAAATTCATATCGAAATAGATGTCATTCGAATTCGAATTCCAGGGCCCAATTAAAATCAAGTCTAGACATTCACTCCTCTCTCGTCCATCGCCGATAGCTCTCGTCCATCGCCTCTCTCCAGTTTGTGCGTCTTTCAATTCATCTCTTTCGATTGAGAGTATCCCAGCGGCTAGGTCTGAATCGCGTCCACCGCCTCCTTCTTTTCCCTAGCTAAAACCTCCGATCCAGGTATAACTAGAAACCATTTTTAACCCTAGCTTTGATTTCCTTAAAGTCCAAGGTTGAGGATGATGAATGAATGAATGTGCTTCGATTTTTGTTCTATTTTTTTCCGATTCAAAAAAAATTTTGATTTGTGGGTTAGTGCTTTGGAAATTGGCAGCTTGTTACATGTTGGCCTTAGCAAGTTTTCTCTCTTTTAAGCCATACTTTCATACCACTATATGAGTGTGCTTGTGTGCGCCCTTGCATCTGGAATTGTAGGTTACTTTGTTGAGTATGAATCTCGAAGAAATTCCCAAGTGTAATGGAGTTGATTGTGGAGTGTATGTGATGGCAGTGGCTAGATTTCTTTCTAACATGTTGACAGATTCCTATTTGACATAAATCTATGTTTGCTGCAATTCGGGGACATAACTCTAGCTTCGGCTGTTTGGTAGCCAAGGATTAAATGTATGGTAGGCCTTGATTGGTGACTTTTTGAGTAACAAAGATACCTTTCTTTTGTCTATGGACTTTAAGTTAGCTAGGCTCTGTGGAGCATTTGATTTCTGTCCTTTTGTTTGTTGTTAGCATATTTTCCTCATCTCCCTCTCTCTTATGTGTCTATCTACTCTTGTTGGATTGTGCAAACATGTGTGTTTTATGTTTGAGCTGGTCCTTTGGAAACACTTTCTCGACCTTATCTTAGGGTAAAATCTGCTTACACCTAGTCACCCACCCTCAAATGTCATTTGTGGGATTTTACTAGATAGTTGAAGTAGTAGTTATTGTATGTGTGTGTGTACTGACCTTACCTTTATGTTTTCCCTTTCGGAAACACATTTGGGCAAACACTTTGTCTGATAAGTTGATGATTGCTTAGAAATATGAAGCTTTGAATTCTTATTGAAGACATATGTTCTAGATTGAAGTATAGAATATGGAAATCTAGCATTTTTTAGCAGAATATGACAAGTATGACATAATTCTTATTTTAAAATAATTATGGAAAAACAAATCTATGTTTACTGAAAAATAGACTACTTTTTCTTCAATTTCTCTGCTTCATTTACCTTCTTTCTACTGTGGGTTGACAGTAAAGATAGAGCTGAAGCCTGAAAGTGCTTTTTGAGTGTCCCAAAGATGTGTAATTGGTATAGCATTTAAAGCTGATGGAGGGTGTGGGGGGGGGGGCATAAATTTCATGCTCATTTTCAGCTTTTCCTTTCCTTCTTAGGCTCCATAGGCTTCTGCTGCTCATATAGGTTATGGAAAATCTAGGGGGAAAAGATAAATAATAAAAAAATAAAAGTAGAAAGAGGAATCTTTTATGAAGTCGAGGTATGTTTGGACTCAGATTTTGAGTCCTAATCTGAGAACTCAACTGTAGCCTACTCTCGGCTTAGTCGCACAAGTACGGCGCAAGAAGAGGCAGGGCAGCAGCGTACGAAGCTAGAATCTAGGACTTCTTGAGTCATAATCCGAGAAGGATATCTAAATTCAGCCCTATATTCATGGAAGTTTTAAAAAAAATTTAATAATGACCAAAAATAGAAGAGGAAATATCTTAGCAGCATTCTGATAGAAAACAATTACTTGTGTCTCGATAATTCCCTGAACTACACACTCCATTCTCAGTCACTCTGTGAAAGTTGAACAGTCCAATTAATGGGATAAGCAGGGTTGAGGAAGAAATAATCTGTAAAAGACCAAACAAATTAGGGGGACAGGGACACAGAGTATACAAATAAACTCAAATTCATACTTTTATATAACTAAATCTAAAACAAATTAGTTATGTTAAGGTTGAAAATGAATTGTTATACATTATAATGATTAAGAGCATGTTCAATATAGCAAAATTAAACTAAACTAAATGGCATTGAACTGAATAGTACTTAAATTCAAACTGCTCAAAAGAATGTATAAAAAAATCAATAGATTGTATGATGAAAAAAATAGAAGTTTAAGCTTTAGAGTGCTTAAGATCATCATCATTATTCATTTATGGAGTACGGAGTACATAGTTTAAAGATGTGTTCTCTGGAAAAGTGTATAATCCCTAAACATAGTGTGAACACTGTACTCAAAACCATCCAAAACGTATAATGAACATGCAAAATGAATCAAATCAACTAACAGAATCTCTAATTTATAGAACCTAGCAACCTAGGATACTAATTACGCACTAAAAGAATGAAAATTGAGAAGCTAATAAATCAACATGCTATAGAAGCTAAAAAAACGCCTAAAAACCTCTGTTGTATATTGTTCTTTGATGAAGATGGAGACTGAAGAACTCAATGCTTCGGTGCCAATTGCCAAATGTGTTGTCGATTTACCTTTTACAGTTCGATGGAGAAATTGACACTTGAGGGAGAGATTGAGGCCTGTGGGAGAAATCGGGTGTCGTTTCGATTTATTTTGATTTGATTTTTGATTTTCGGTTTTAGGAATGTGGGGGGCGAGTGAACTGTCTAATTGGAGGCCAGAGCCAGAGGGGCTTTGAAAGAAAGAGGTACAGTACTTTCAAAATTCTAAAATAGGAGTCTTATATCTTTTAAGACTAAAATAGATGTATAATGATACCGTAGTGTAGAAATATACTTTGGCAATGTGATGAAAAATTGATGATAGTGTAATATGTCAGTGTGATCTGTCAACTGTCGGTGATCTGCAACGGCACTCCGATTACCGGCGGCACCGGATGGTAGTGTGGCGCTGATAATTGATGATAGTGTAATAAGTCCCTCTGGCTCTGGCCTCCAATTAGACAGTTCACTCGCCCCCCACCTTCATAAAACCGAAAATCAAAAATCAAATCAAAATAAATCGAAACGACATTCGATTTCTCCCACAGGCCTCAACCTCTCCCTCAACTTTCAATTTCTCCATCAAACTGTGAAAGGTAGATCGACAACACATTTGGCAATTGGCATCGAAGCATTGAGTTCTTCAGTCTCCATCTTCATCAAAGAACAATATACAACAGAGGTTTTTAGGCGTTTTTTTAGCTTCTATAGCATGTTGATTTATTAGCTTCTCAATTTTCATTCTTTTAGTGCGTAACTAGTATCCTAGGTTGCTAGGTTCTATAAATTAGACATTCTGTTAGTTGATTTGATTCATTTTGCTTGTTCATTATACGTTTTGGATGGTTTTGAGTACAGTGTTCACACTATGTTTAGGGATTGTACACTTTTCCAGAGAACACATCTTTTAACTATATACTCCGTACTCTGTAACTGATAAAATGAATAATGATGATGATCTTAAGCACTCTAATTAGGTAACTATGTTTCAATTGATGTATTCATTATTGGCCGTGGATACTATACTTTTATTAGGTAACCTTTTTGTATAGTAGGGATAAAATTTTGCATCCTATTTTTTCCCAAGTGTGCATTAATGCATCCCTTTTTATTTTCGAGAAAACTGCATCCTAATTAAGTACTCCGTATGACTTAAAGTGCTTGTCTGTAGGGATCCTATTCCTATTTTCTATTAAAGTGTGCTTTAAATTTTGAGTTTGAAATTTTAAATAGACCACAACAGGCAATTGCGAAATGGGGAATGAGTTGAACTGGTCATCCTTTTCGTTTTGTTTTTAATGTTTCTGTATTTTTTGGACACACTTTTTGTGTTTTCTTATTAATTATTTAATTATGTAAACCTGAATTGAACCGAATAACCAAAATTTTAACCGTTAAAAACGAACAGAATAACCCAAAATTTTAACTGTTAAAACCAAACCGTAGAATTATTTATCGTTCCGTCTTTGGTATTGGATAAAAACCAAACCCACCCCTACATCGAAGGTATGTTTTTCCTATCAAATGCGTTCGTAAACAATAATTAACTCTTGTTTCAATTAGCCAGATATTAAACACTTATCATTAATGAATTTGTAGATCTATGGTAAAAAAATCCTCACCAGAAACACAATATTTTATTTGCCCTGTTTTTTTTCAAGGGCGTATATGAAACATCTCCCTTCCGATCTTATTTTCAGGTTTTAGATAATTGCCCTCTTTGTTTTTTTTGGAGATTTTATAAATGGAGTATCTTTATTCGTAGATGAAGAATTGGGCTGTATATTTTTCATGTTTTTTCGTTCATATTTTTTTTTATCATTTTTTTCATAGAGTATCAAAAAACTACTCTCACAAACTGAAGCTGGTGTTAAAACTCAAAATGTGTGTGGGATAACTATTTATGGGCTTTATGGCTTGTTTAGTTCTAAATCACAGCACAATGAGTTCTCCTATGTAACTTAAGTACTATTCAGTTCAATACCATTTATTTTAGTTTAATTTTGCTATATTGAACAGGCTCTTAATCATTGTAATGTGTAACAATCCATTTTCAACCTTAACATAACTAATTTGTTTTAGATTTAGTTATATAAAGTTATGAATTTGAGTTTATTTGTATACTCTGTGTCCCTGTCCACCTAATGCGTTTGGTCTTTTACAGATTATTTCTTCCTCAACCCTGCTTATTCCATTAATTGGACTGTTCAACTTTCACAGAGTGACTGAGAATGGAGTGTGTAGTTCAGGGAATTATCGAGACACAAGTAATTGTTTTCTATCAGAATGCTGCTAAGTTATTTCTTCTTCTATTTTTGGTCATTATTAAGTTTTTTTTAAAACTTGCATGAATATATTTGAAATTGCATGATCTGAATTTTAAGTACGGGTAGATCTATTATTAGTTTCATGGGCTGGCTTGTAAGTTGTAACTGTAAACTTACCACTATCAACATTGTTGGGTTTTGGAAACAGCCTTTTGTCTTTCTATTTTTCAAATTGGCTTTAGCTATTGGAGTTCCCGTCCATTGCCATTGCCAGTGACGCTAAAAGAGTCATCATTAGTTATGTTTTAGTTTCAGGCACATAATGGACTACATCAAAATGACACGTTAAAATTCTCTTTCTTCTTACTTTCTATGAAGTTTAGGGTAGTAAATGCTGCGATGCTTTTAGTTTCTAAAGGAAGCAACTTCTCTGTTTTTGTTACTGTGTACATGTTGGTGATGTTGCCCCCTAGACCCCCAAATGGAGTTGGGATTATAGTGGGGTGTTCTTGCTGTTGTCTTTAACTTCTAGAGTTCTGTGATTTTGGTGCTATTTATGATTGGCATTATGTTGGAATATAAACTAATGGGCTAAGTGGATTTTGACCATGGAGATTAAAGAAATACACTAAAGTGGGAAAATAGGCCAACAAGCTACATGCCATTCATGTCTTTTATTGATTTCTAAGATAGCGTGCTTCCTTTAATATAATATTTTCATATGCAGCATGTGGAGGCCCTTGAGATTCTTCTTCAAGGACTTTGTGGTGTTCATAAAGAAAGCTTGCGAATACATGAATTATGCCTCAAAAGCAAGTCAAATCTAGGTGACTAACATGTATTCTGTGTTAATGAATGGGTTCAGTGACTTCAATCTACCACTCTATAATTTTATCGGTTCAGCATTTCTGCACCATTGTATATTATTTCACATCTCCTAGCTTCTATCAGGGGTCAAACTGCATCTTCTTTCTTATCTTATTTTCTTTAATATTCTTTTGTAAATTATTTCACATCTCCTTTTTAATAGAAATTTTGATGTAGCTTTTGAATACTGAGTTTGTAAATTTTAGTTGTTTGTATTCAGTATTTTAGAAGTTGAAAATATCTTGAATCTTTACCTCGTTGCTCAAATTAGACACATAAAATTAGATGGATGGAGTAGTATGGTTTTTTCTTGGATTATGGGTTTTTCATGTTAACCTTTAGTGGGCATGCCTGTAATCTGTTTAAAAACCATATTTTTCTCTGAAGCTTATAATTTTGTTTCCCGTCAAAGCAAAGCCTTGGTTTCTGTTAACCAATTTTAGTTTGTATTTCTCTCAGGGTTAGTGGGTTCAGAAATTCGTCTCATTTGTGATCTTGAGCAACCTGATCCGATGTGGTAAGATATACAGTTCTCATCTCTTTCTTTATTGCCAATTCTAAGGCTTTTTATTACTTCATATTATTTATTTTGAATCATGTTTCTTGACGAAAATGATTCTTTTTATGTGCTTTTACCTGAAAACATTGTTTTTTACTAGACTGTTGTGGGTCAACATTATATTATATGGAGTACACAGAACACAATGTTTTTCATCAAAACACTCTCTAAGGAAAACAACCAAAGCCTAAGTATCATTTGAACCACCAATTCATAGGACTGTTAGACACGTTGGCGGGGTAATGAGAGGATCTGGTGCCGAGCAAATCTCAGTTCTGGTTAGGACAGTGGCAGAAAGCAGAGTGAGCAAGAACGCGCTCAGAGTCTTTAATTCGCTGGGATACATACTTGACCATGAGCTATTGAGAGTTGGCTTTGGGTTCCATTTCCAAAGAGGGGCACATATAACCGTGACCGTGTCATCTATAAATAAGATGCTGAAACTGCATGCCACCGATGAGGCTGTACCTGTAACACCTGGCATTCAGCTAGTTGAAGTGACAGCACCTGCTTCGGCTGAAAATTACTCGGACGTTGCTGCTTCTGTATCTTCATTCTCCGAATATCTTGCACCGTAAGTGTGTCTCTCTATTGTTTTCTCCTTTCTCATTACATTGGGGCTTTTCTGCTTTAACATCAAAACTAGTTTTTGGCTTATTTGTCAGGCTCCTGCATTTGTCGAAACCGGGCAGTTCAACAGGGGTGGTTCCTACTGCTGCCGCGGCAGCGGCGTCTCTCATGTCAGATGGTGGAGGCACTAAATTTTAGTGCATGCGGATAGGGTACCTTATCAAGGTTTGATCTAAAGAACCTTTTAGTGTGGCTCTTTTATTTCATGTAGCTCTAGTTTACTTGGCAAATATATCTTGAGTTTCAATTTATTGTCAACTTTTTTAATTGTACACATTAAATGATTCCTCAAATTGCAGGGTTATGCAATGTTTGTCCTTCATATAATTTCGGTGTTTGTGCATTGTTCTCATTTTGTAGTCACCCTTTTCGAAAGAAAAAAAGGTACACCATCCTTCCAATTGGAAATTCTCATATTTGAGTTTTCTACCCAGAATACTGAAATCAAGTAAACTTTGGCTCATATGTTTTTACTGGACATTAATGGAAGGTATGAATTTATGCTTTCGTGAAAGTTGTTTAATAAATAACATTTTTTTAATTTATGCATAACACACCCTCTCTGGGCCGTACTCTCTTGGGATTAACATAGCTGGGTCTTTACGTTGTTGTGTATTACTCTCTCCGTTCCACAAAACCCTTCCGGTTTTGACTTTAGGGGAAAAATAAGAAAATTGTAATTTTGGTTGACTTTCTAATTTTGACCTGATGTGATGGGAAAAAGTAAGATGTGATAGTTTGGTTATTAGTGAAAAGTATGATGTGATAGGTAGAGTATGAAAAGGTAGGGCTAAAAGTGGTTTTTAATAGAAAGTGGAAGTGTTTTGTGGAAAGCAGAAAAAACGAAAGAGGAAGAGTTTTGTGGAACGGAGGGAGTACTATTTTTGTTTTAGTGTATTTGTTCAGCTTGACTTTTTTTAGTCTAATTAGACAAATTTTGAATTTTAATTACTCTGAATTTGTATCCACATTGATACAATGATATAAAATTTTGATAGTTCGCAATAAGATAAATCTAATAAAATTATTTTTATATTAATATACGGTACGGAGTATAATTTTTGTTTAATTTGGAAAAGTGATAGAACGGTGGTTTATACGTGTAGTATATAGGAGGACTCGATGAGATGTGTGGCATTCTCAGGGCATGCCACGTATGCAACATACGTGCCAGGTGGCACACATTGTATTCATCTATCCATATCTTATACTCCATGCTCCCCTTACGTAGCCAGTATATATACAGTAATTATATATACACAAAACAGAATTGTTTTGGCATAAGACAGCAAATTGATCATTTATTTCATCAAAACATAGAAAAATAGTGTGGTAGAGAAAAGGAGAGATGTCGGGTGCACAAGGAGCAGAGCCGAAGGGGTCGAGGACTGCAACCGAGTACGAGTCGGTTCCGGAAGAAGGGAACACGACCCGGCTCGACATCCGGTCATGGGACGACGAGCCGGGCATTCAAGTTGATAAGCTTCAGGACAAGGTTGAAGATGCCGCCGGATTAGGCGGTCCCGTTTTCGGCGCCGGGAAGGATGACGACAAGCAGGATCTCGGCGTCACGGGCACCGCGTAATACGTAGTAACATAGATTAATAAGATGCATTATTATATGGACATGTAACAAGGAACGTGTTGTGCCCGTTGCTTAATAATAATCCGCGACCTTTGTTTTTCTTTCTTCTAGGAAAAAAGGGTAATTTTAGCTAGGTATAAACGATACGGTTGGGTTCTTTGAGTTGCTTTGGAAGACGTCCACTCAATTGGTCAATAGGGTTTAGTTAATTTTAGGGTCAACTTTTCTTCTACCAAAGTCAATAAAACTTAGCACTTTGCAATTGAACTTTGCAATTGACGTGGGTAGATTGGGGTCGGAGGGGCTGGGGTTACCACGGGTCAAGGGAAAAGAAACTATCAATTTTACGAACGGCGTGTCGCAATTAGACCTGTCTGTTTTTGACCCGAAATCCGACCTGAAAACACTGGGTTTTGAACAAGGGTTTTGATGACCGAACTCGAAGTTTACAGAACCCGAAATAATCCGCTAAAAGTGGGTCAAACCCGACCGAACCCGAACCCGACCTGACCAACCCGCTAAAGTAAGAAATTTTTAAAATCTTACACTTTACTACTCATTTTTAGTATATAAATTTATATTTTCAGACAAATTTTTAATGATATTGCATAATTATCTTATTTTTTCCAAAACTTAAGCATTTTTTAAATTCTTTATATTGATTTATATATCTAAATATTACTTCAGAATTTAAAATAAAATAATCTAATATATTTAATACATTTATTTTGATATTTTAAATTTATTTAATAGAAAACATAAGTGTTAATTTAAAAATTTAAAAAACCAAAGTCATCTATTGGGTCGATCCGGACTCGATGACACTAGGTTATGAACATACAGTTATCAATCCGAACACGAATTAATCCAAACTCAAAATACCTCGAACTCGAAGTAACCAAACCTGAACATGACTGACTCAGAATGGAGTTGGTGTCCTATGGAGCCACTCTTAAAAACTAAAACAGGGGCGTACCTTTCCTACGAAGATACCGAATGGTCCAAAAACAAACATACGGAGTAGTTTTCCATACCTTTATTTTGCAGCGTTGAAAGAAAAAAGTAACTTTAGTGAGTGTTATTGGAGGATTTCCTCCCTTCTAATAAAAGCTTACTAATTATTGTTGATTTTCAATTTTGTTCATAATGTGATGAATAAAGTAAGATGAAGTGTTTTTGAGAATAGATAGACTAATAATATACCCGAAATAAACAATTTAAGAAAGAATTGAGAGAAATAAGTTCTTTAAAGCTCTAGAACTTTCAACTTAATTTTTTTCTATAAAAAAGTTAAATTTGATAATAAAAAAGAAAAAAGCTAAGGGAACTTCACTTCACTTAGGATATACCAAGTGTGTACCAAACACTAAGGTAAAAATAGGATAGGGACGCATAAACACTAAGAAAAATGCTAGGGGTACACCAAATGTGTACCCCATTTCCTCTTCTTTTTCTACAAAAAAGGTAAGAAATTCAAAAAAAAATGAATAAATAAAAATAAAATAAAAATGGGTGGTGGAGAAGGGAATGGTGTACATTTGGGGTACATTTTGGTGTATCCCTAGCATTGCTCAAACACTAATGGGCTGTTTGGCAACTTCTGAATAGGTAAGTGCTGAAACAGTAAGATGTCTGAACCATTAAGTGCTGAACCAGTAAGAGGTCTGAACCATTAAGAGCTAGTATATTGCTTAACTATTTATAGGCAAATGTCTGATCAATTCAGATAAGAGGTCTTAATCATTCAGACACTGTATAATACTTAACCATTCAGAGGCAAATCTCTTAACCATTCAGACATCTGAACCATTAAGAGGCTAAAACAAACAGTCTGAACCATTAAGTGTTGAACCATTCAGACATTTGAACCATTAAAAGACTGAAACAAACAGCCCCTAAATATGTGTGTAGAATGCAAGTGAGGTTCCTTTTGGGTCCTCGTAAAAACACCCGTTTGAAGGAAAATATTGACATTTAGACAGCTGTCTAACTTGTCCACCACGATTCCATGTTAATTTAAATGAATTCTTTTGTTTGCGTTACTACCCACTCATTTTAGAACAATATTAAAAAAAGACTTCCCATTTTGATTTGGGGCAAAAATAAGGAAGTATTAAATTATACTTGATTTCCAATTTTGCTCCTGATGTGATGGGTAAAAGTAAGATATGATGAATAAATTATTAGAGAAAAAATATAATGTGATAGGTAGGGTACGAAAAAGTAAGGATAAAAGTAGTTTTTTAATAGAAAAGAGAAGTGTTTTGTTGGAAGTGAAAAAAATGAAAGAGGAAATGTTTTTGAGAACGGAGGGTTACTATTTTATAGGTATTACTCCGTAATATTTAAATTGATTGTATGTATTAGGTTTATAAAAAAAAAGAAATCTAGTTATAAATCTAAAAAAAATTTGTGAGAAAGTTTATGTTTTTGGACCTTAAGACGACAATAGTACAACTCAATTAATCAATCAGTCGTTAATTCAACAATTAAAGTTTAATTAATAAAATTCAATTAACCTGCAATAACACCAAAGTGCACTATCAAACAACTTTAATTCATTGAACCTGATCAGCTCCGCATTTTCAAGGAGATCTCATATTTTTCACTTCTACTTTACGATTACTTTCGTAAGTTGCAATCCAAAGATTATTCTAATCAAAACAATTAGCAATTTAATTATGTGATTGTAGGCTCGGAAATACTTTTAATTTCTGAAATGTGTCTCACATAAATGCTAATTTTTGCTCAAAACTTGTATGTGAATACTTTCGGGCTCAGATGGTTTGTCAAGTTTTGATTTTTGGAATCAACCGAAATCAATATTTTGACCTTTAATTAAATAAAAATTATATGTTATATTAATTAAATAAAATTACTCTATATTTTATATTAATATATGGTTAAAGGTTATCAACTTATATTTTACAAAAGGAATCTAATAAAGTTACTTTTTGTATCAATATTTTATATTAATATATGGTTAAAGGTTATCAACTTAGATTGCAAAAAATCAAAAACATGATTAATACTGCGGGTTAGAGGTAGTATTAATTTTTAAAATAGGTGATGGTAAGAACCGTCGAACTCATGAACTCAGTAAATTTCCAATGTCATATCAAAGAAACAATTTAATCAAACTTTCAAACCTGTATATTTACACTGAAATAAAGTATATAAAGTTTTATGTCAGAATTATATACTACCTCCGTTCTAAAATGATTTACACGTTTTGACTAAAGTTGAAATTAAGGGAGGGATAATTTTGTGTTGACTTTCCAAAAATACTCTTGATGTGATGTGTAAAAGTAGGATGTGATGTGTAGATTATTAGGAAAAAGGCATGATGTGATAGGTAGGGTTTGAAAAGGTAAGGGGTAAAAGTGGTTTTTTTATAGAAATGGATAGGAGATTGTGGGACACAATTTTTTTAAAAGGTGTAAATCTTTTTGGGACGGAGGGAGTATCATTGTTTGAATAAATTGAATTGAAGTAGGGCCAACCTTGGACTAGGGGGCGGCCGCTAAGGACCCATTTTTAAAGGAGGCCCATAATATTTTTTCGTAATAGCAATAGAAATAAATTATTGTAAAAAAATATCAATCTAGCTTTCAAATTTCTAATTTTATGTGAAGATATAAAGTAAAATAATAATATGACACCCTCAATGGTTTTAGTTTATTAAGTGATATTACTCTTTTTTTAAATAATTGATTATTTTATCTATTCTGTATGCCTAAAAATATTTATATATGGAGAAGAGTTCTTGAAAAAATAATTTTTTTAAAAAAAATGCTCAAGATAATTTCACTATTTGATTTTTATCCTTGAGAGAAAATTAATAATAATCATGAGCATATATAAGAAAGTTCTCATGACAGTTTTGCCTTTTGATTTTTTTAACCAAATAATTGAGAAAAACTTGATAACAAATGAAGAGATACTCTCCATAATTATTATCGACAATGTGTCTGTAAGAGAATCAAATCACATTTTTCTTAATCTTATTTTTCTAAAAATTAAATAATGGTGGGATTTGTGATAAAAAGTGATATTTTTTCTTTAAAAAAATTGACAAAGTGTTTTAAGGTTTTTTTGCGTTTTATTGTTATTACACGTTTCTAAAATTGTCTTTTTTAGATTACATTTTAAAAATTATTATAAGAAAGGCCCAATTTTTCTAATTAGCCGAGGGCCTCATAATGTGTCCCTAGATAATTTTGGGATAAAAGAAGCATTAATATTTTTTTGATGAAGTTGAATTCTTTTATGTACTTAAGATCCACACTCATTTTATAGACTTTAGTAAATAAACATTATGGATGATTTGAGTTTTTTAAAAAAACAAAATATTTTCATGTCGGCCCACTGAGATGTTTTATATTTCACATATGAACCTTAGAATTATGGAAACACAACTCTTGGAATTGGATGGTAGATTTATTCATTTTTCATTGTTATAACTTGCCTAAAAATTTTCCAGGGTAATTGCCCTCAAACGCATGTGGCCCAGTTTCTATAAAAAAGGGTGCCCCAATCATATATTCATATACTAACGTTTGTTGTCATGTTAAGTGAATTTTAAATTCCAATTAAGGCCATATTCTTTTTTATTAGAATGAAGAAATTGGATAAAATAGGAAAGAGTTGGAGAAAATTGAATGTGTTGGAACATAAAAAATTGAATGTGTTGGAACATGTTGGAAGAATTAGGGCTCGTTTGATGAGTTTTGGATATGATAAGATGTGAGTTATGAAATCTCGAAAATATGATATGAGATTTGAAATCCGAAACAAATTTATTTGGAAAAATTTAAAATCATGGTTTAATTAGTGATTTGAGGGAGTGACCAACAATGGGAGTAGTTTGTGGTTACAATGATAGCCTGTGACGGAGAATGATCAATAGGTGAGAGAGATATCAAATTCCCATATTGATATCTCCCGGATTCGAGAGATATCGAAACCCTCCATTTTCAAAGATTTATGATATCTTGAGATATCGAATTTGAGATCTCTTTTAGGCTTCACCAAACATCAGAAAAGAATTTTGATATTCGGAGATATTAGAAAATAATTAAAAAATGTTTATAGATAGAAATAAAAGAATTTCAAAATACCAAAATAAGAGTCATATATCTTTTAAGACTGAAATAAGAGTATAATAATAGTGTGGTGTAGGAATATGCATTAGCAGTGCGATGGAAATGTGACGATGGTGTAACATGCCAGTGTGATTAATCAACCATCGGTAATCTGCAGTAGCACTCTGGTGACCGGCAGTGACGGATAACAGTGTGGCAGTGATAGTGTGACAGTTATAATGTAACAATGAGGTAAGTGTGACAGTGTAATAATGACAATGTGAACTCCTATTTTGGTCTTAAAAGACTTATATTTCATATTTTGATATTTTCATAGTTCTTTACTCCTATCTAGAGATTTCTGACTAAAAGAATTTTGATATTCAGAGATATCAAAACTCATATCATGTTTGCCGACTGATGAGTGTATTTCACCCAAGACCAGGTCCAAGCCCGGGTACACAGAAGCTGACCGGTCAAGATTCAAATATGTCATAATGGAAGATATAAACTAAAAATAGACCACTGGTCGGGTTCGAGAAAGTTGACCGGTACAAAATATAAACTTATCAGTTAGAGTACGTGATTTCGAGCTTGTGATCTTCTGCCCCTTCAGAACACGAATAAGAGGTAAACCTACCGGGTAGGTTACTACGGTGTGAAAGTGTCGGCACGAATAACTTCAGAGTCGGTTGGACGGTAGTGACTAATTTCAACGAAAGATTGAGGAAATATTCCCTCAATCTCAGCTAGGCGCTAAGCGCCAAAGAAGGAATCATCAGCACAATATGACAGGGGAATAAGACAAAACGCTACGGGACAAAAGGAAGTCACCTCGCACCGTCTGAGAACATGGGCTGGCGTGGGCGTGCGACACCTAGTACCCTCTATTTCATTATAAATACCTCTGTAACCCTCAGATGAAGATATCCAAATTTTATCTCTCTAGAGTTCATATTGATATAGCTTCCGACACTCTCCTACATAGTTAATAACAATTGGACTACAAGTGTTTTCACTTACAGTCCCACCGGTCATTTTCTGTTTTCCTGCACTTTTCATTCTTTAGACTCAGGACCTATGTAGAAACTTTAATTTGTGTTAGTATAAAAACTTTTCATTAGATTTATCCTATCGAGAAATCTAAAAACTTGATATTATTGTATTTGTATGCAATATAGATTTCATTAGATTATAATTCCCCTTATTTTACTCAAAATATGATGGAACGGATTGAGTGTTTTAAATTTTTTATGGTTCTGCCGCTGGAAAAAAAGAGTAATTTTGGTGCAAGAAACCAAATTAAAAAAAGGAAAAAAATGAACGAATTGCCAAAGAAGGAAATCTGCCACGAAACTTCTTGAAGGCGCGTAAACAGGATCGCGGCTAGAAAATTACAGTTGTAAATAAATTAAGTGCTCCATAATTAAAATAAAATAGAAAAAGAGAAAATATAAAATTAGAGTTTCATATTTTTAACTTCAAAATAGAATTATTGCACTGTGATGATTTGGAAATATACAAAGTACATTTGTATTCCATAATATTTTTTGATGTTATATATTCACATTATTTTATTCTAACTCCTATTTTGCTAACTTTTTATACATTTTATTCCTACTTTAATATTTTTTCTTTTGAAAAAATTAAAACAATGAAACCCAACTTAGAGTCCGCCCTAAACAATAACCCACAAACATCTAAGTTGAGTTCTAATTTAAAAGAAAATGAGATCTTTCTGTAGTATATAAAATTTTTCAACGACAAAAAAAATCATGACCTAAAAATATCTAATTTTAATGTTATTTTTTAATTATGACTCTTATATTCTACAAATTATATCCAACCTTATTACTCTGTATTAAGTAAGAAGAAATAGAAAGTAATATTAAATTAATTATTCTCCTTCCGTCCTAAAATGATTTTTCTAGTTTTATTTATAAGGTTTGATTGAATTTCTTTTTAATTTTTTTATTTGATTATAGGTGCAAAATTAAAAATAAAAATTATATACTCTCTCCGTCTTCCAGTTTTGTCCAGTTTTGACTTTTGGAACTATTCATCTAAGCACTTTGACTTATCAAATTCTCTCAATGTGTAAACCTAAATATAGTCATGTGTGATCTTGTTTGATTTGTCTTAACATATAGATTATTAATATATAATTTTTTAATATACAAATTACAAGATAAAATGGATTAAAGAAGTGCATTGGATGGTGTGTAAAAATGAAAGTGGACAAATATTCTGTGACGGAGGGAGTATTTTAAAATTGCATAAAAAGCTTTACAAAACAAGAAGTAACTAACATGCTTATATTATTTTATCAAATTACTAATGAAAATAGATAAAAAAGTGATTAAAATTTTATTATGTTAGAAAAATGTCTTTTTAAGTAAATTTTCCAAATTTATGGAAGGAGGAAGTATTTAAAAAAATGGAGTACCCTCAGATTGTTGGACTAATTAAGACGTTCACGAGAAATGTCATTTTAATAAAATTTCCCAATCTGCCCCTACCCCTATCCGATTATTCAAATAAATACCCCATTCACCCCCATCGGCTCCACAAACACTCACCTTTGTTTTTTTGCAACAGAGAAGAGAAAGAAAGAGAGATGAGAGAAGTGAGGCCCTCAAACGACGTCGCATCAGCACACTCTTCCTCCGACAACCTCAACAACAACACAATCTGGCAATGGAAATCTCCGATTCCGTACGTTTTCGTGAGCCTCTCCGTCGCATTCGCCGTAATCCTCCTCGCCATCGTCGTCCTCGTCTGCTCCCTCCACAAGCACCACCACCACCAGCAGCAGCAGCAGCCGTCCGACGACGGCGGAGACAAATCCGGCCGATCGGCGCCGGACAAGGCCGCCGCTCCCAGTTTCATCGTCGTCATGGCCGGAGACGCCAAGCCGACGCACATCGCGATTCCCATCCCTTCCTCACTCTCTCCTCATCTCACTCATGGAGAACAAGTCTTTAATTAATTACGGAGTAATTAATTTTGTTTTTTCTTTTTTTTTAAAAAAATTTCTTCCCTTCTGGACCGCCCGGGAATGTAATTATAAGAGTAGAAATATGCTGAGTAGATTTAATAATCTCTCTTTTTCTTTCTTTCTTTGATTTTACAATAACATATTATAAACACAATTTTGGGATGATTTTCCTCTCTAACTTATTCTCCAGTCCTGAATTTCATTTCTAGTCAATAAAACAGAGTCTTTCACAATCAAAACCCATTGGCTATTTCATAAGTTTAATCTCACGATTTCGAATGAATTTCTGATGAATCCAATTGGCATAGATGAGTATGTATAGATCAGAAAAGTTATTTGTTGCAAACCATCCACATGATCAAGATGAAGATGGGGAAATGCTTTTATTCTGATCCTCTGTTGTGTTCCAATGGGGGATATAGAACATGCATAGAATGTGTAAACAAAGACATGAATTCTATATATATATATATATATATATATATATATATATATATATATATATATATATATATATATATATATATATATATATATATATATATATGTATGTATGTATGTTTAGAGAGAAAATAAAAAAAGAAGAAGCCCTTGATAGTTGGCACTATAGGGGTATTAATTTATTTGTCTAATTTGACTATTTTCACTTCTTTTTCTATTTTCATTACAATTTTATTTTCTTTCTCTCTTCGACAATTTTTGTTTATTTGTGTGTTTTCATTAATTATTTAATAAAATAAATTTTCTTATCACTTCTTGTTTTGTATAACTTTAGACGAGACATAATATTTTAATATATAATTTTTATTTTTTATTGATATAGCCGAGTACTATTTTTGTAAATAAAATAATTTCAAAAAATGTGGGATTTTACATCGTATTTTTTTTGAAATATATACCCGTATAAAAAATACTTGTCTCAATTTTTTTTGTATGTTCTAAAACATTTCACATTTTTTAATAATAAAAATAGATGGTATATAATTTTTCATTTTTGAATTTAAAAAATGTGGTGTAATAATAAGAAATGAGGACATAGTGTCGTTTTTTAGCGTATACCTTTAATGAAACGGTGCACATAATGTTGTCATTTATTCATGTATGGGGATGGGTGCGATGGAGGGTTCTAAAACGTACGATTCCTTAAAAACATTGCTGACTTGGACGTGAGTAGATTTATATATATAAGGGCAGATGCGGCGAGCCGTGCGTGAAGAAGGGGAATTCATTCCGTAAAATGACGCCCCACAGATGCATATAATACATTCAGTAATTAATTAATTAATGCACTCTTTCGTCGATGCTGCGGAGACTCGAGGGCGTGAGTTAATGAGAAAAAAAGGGGCATTTACAACAATACCAGATCCGCCCCGCATCAACTTCTTACCGTTATTTCACTAATTTTTTTGTTTTGCTCCAAAATTGTGTAATGATATCGTCTCGAAAATTTACCTTCTCATTTCTTTTACAAAATTTATCATTTTTTATTTTAAACTTATATAAATTAAGGAAATTTTTTTATTAATAAAATATATAAGTAATAATGAATAAAATAAAAAGTATAAATTCAAAATTAACAAAAGTAAATAAAAAGATTAAAATTAATTAAATATTACTCCGTAATTATTGGAATAAAAAAATAAAATTCAAAAATTCAAAAATTCAAAATTGATTACATTAAAAAGAGTTTAAAATTACAAAAACTGAAATTGAAAGAAATTAAATTTATAATGTGCGCGGGACTCTTGGCTCATGCCGGCCAAACCTAAGCTTGTGTTTGGATGAGGTGAAATTAGAGGGAAAGAAAATGTTTGAGAAGAAAACACAATTCCCAAAAAACTTTCTTCAGTTTGTTTGCAGGAGAAAATGGAGAGAGAATGGAAAGGGAGAGGTGAAAAGTTTTCTCTCCTCTAGAGGGGAGAAAATTGGCCAAAGGGAGAGAAAAGTTTGGAAATGACATTTTTACCCTCCACTATGTTCACTTTCCATATAGAATAAGGGTAAAGTTGTTTCATGGTAAATTGGTAAAGTAGTAAAAATTGGTAAAGTAGTAAAGATTAATTAATACATCTTTCGTCAGGATGTTAGAGACTCGAGGATATGAGTATTGGCGGTCAACTCTAGAAAAATGATACTCCGTATTTACACTTTACATTTTTGCTATAGGCAAAAATGTAATTATACAAAATTGGAGTGCAAATACAATTTCACTCAACTCACTTGCCCTTATGAGTGACAATATGGTCTGAGTCCAAAGCAAATCGAAAATAAAATTATTTGATTTAAATCCGAATAAGATCTAATCTGAACTTGAATAAAAAATCAATTCTGAACAAAATCGAATCTGAATCTAAGTCAATATATATCAATTGAAGACTTGAAGTTCGACCCAACGTGAGCATGAATGTTTAGTGGGTGATGGTGGATTAGAGAAATAAGGTGATAAAGACAATGTCAAGATATAGTTTTTGAATATAGGAATGACATTCGATCTGTTGTGAACTTTGTAAGTGTTAGAATTCATCCAATTTTCATTGGGCGAGAACCATGTATTTGAATATCATCAATGAAGAGCAACGTTCCAGTGACACCGGAGAACGGTGCCACTCCGGTGCCACTGGGTTTTTGGGGCACCTCCGGTGCTCCGTTCGTAAAATTGACGGTTCCTACCTCTCCTAACCCACCCCCTAAACCCCCCACCCTACCCCCACCCCTGCACCCCCACCCCAACCCCGCCGTAACCCCACCACAAAATGTGTGGCTATTATGCATTGCATAATAGCCACACATTTTGTGGTGGGGTTACTGCGGGGTTGAGGCAGGGGTGCAGGGGTGGGGGTAGGGTGGGGGGTTTAGGGGGTGGGTTAGGAGAGGTAGGAACCGTCAATTTTACGAACGGAGCACCGGAGGTGCCCCAAAAACCCAGTGGCACCGCTAGTGGCACCGTTCTCCGGTGTCACTAGAACCGGGCCGATTAATGAATTATTGCGATTTAGTGTAACTCTTAATGACTACCAAATACCAAAAGGATTCTTTTGTACCATATTTTGTGAAGGTTCATTACCATGGCTTGTCAAACAATTGAGGTTTAATATTAGAATTTAGGCTCCCCTTGTGTGAACTATTTGTTTTTTTTTCGGAACCGAATGCACTTCATTATCTCCACCCGAACATGTACAAGAACATCTTTAAAGGTTAGCCACAATAGCCTCACAAAAAGTAGTGAAAATCATTAATGAAAATGTTGGTTCCATAAAAATGAAAATCATGAATCCAAATACGATCCAGTGCGAACTACTAACTCCCTCCCAGAGTATTTGTCCACTTTCATTTTTACACACCATTCAATACACTTTTTAAATTCATTTTATGTTGAAATTTGTATATTAAAAAATTATAAAAATTATATATTAATAATCTATACGTTAAGATAAATCAAACAAGATCACACATGACTACATTTAGAATTACACATTGAGAGAATTTGATGAGTCAAAGTGCTTAGATGAACATTTCCAAAAGTCAAAACTGGACGAATACTCCGGGACGGAAGGAGTAAATACTATACCTACTCCCATTTTGCCATAAACCAACTCTTATTTTGGTTAATCCATTCTATGTATGAAAAATTGTCAATTTTATTTCCCCCATCCATCTAAATTTAAATTACCTGTTTCAATTTACGATTTTTGACTGAAGTTATTTTCAAATCATTTTATAGAAAAGCATTCATTCTCCCATTTCAAACTCATACTTGTTTTTACTACAATTACTAAAAGCTTGTTCATTTCAACTTATTCTTATTATTTACTATTATATAAATCGAACTAGATCAAAACATCTTTAAATATAATACTCCCTCCGTCCGGTATTAATCTACCCGTTTTGACTTTTTTCCATTTTTATGGAGAGTTGACAATGGGATGAAAATGTCCAAACTACCCTTTTCTTTAGCCACTATTGCCACTGCTCTCACCAGCCTTCTGCTTCCACAATCTCCGTCCAATCTCGCCACCGCCACAGGCCCCTCTT